CTTCTTCATACACCCAACAAAGTTTGACCTTGTCTCAGCTCCAGGAAGCAGAGCTGGGACATCAGCTCCTCCCAGATGGAGCCTGGAGGAGCTCAGCTGGGAGAAGGGACCAGCTGTGGTGCCCTTCCGGGTGTAGAGCCCATCCACTGATACTGACAGCTGTAGTGGAGGTAAGTTGTGGTTAGTGCAGGTTTAGGGTTTAGTGTTTTATGTTGGTTGATTCGTGATGGTTTATTGGTTTATTCAGTGATTATTGAACTGACAAATATACACACACACACACATACAAACAAATACTCACAGAACAGAAGCTGGTATGTCCGTTAATCTGTAAAAAAGAAAGAAAATATTAATAAGTGAATGTTAGTAACGTAAAAGAGCTTTTGATTCAAGGAATTGGAGGTACTCTCTTCCATGGATCAAAAGTCCTTCACCTGGGGTTATATACGACCCCAGGGGATAAAAAATGACTCAGGGCTCTCATATCCGGCTGTAAGCGTCGAGTCGTAGCTCCTGGCTCAGCCTCTCAATTTACTACTAGCCAGATTCACTCTCCTAGCCTGGTGGTCGCTATCGCACCTGTTCTTCAAGCTGTGTGTGGAGTCCACTACATCGTCTTAAAGTAATACTTCCTGACACTCCATGTGACTCGTTTGTGTATTTTACTTCCTGTTGTGCCCTCCAGTACCTGTTTTTCACCTCATACTCTCTCTACCCTTGTAATTCCTCTCAATATTTTGTATATTATCATGTGTATGTGTATGTGTGTGTGTGTGGTGTGCATGTACTCACCTAACTGTGGTTGCATGGGTCGATTCACAGCTCCTGTCCCCGCCACTTCACTGGTCGCTACTAGGTCACACTCTTCCTGCTCCATGAGCTTTATCATACCTCTTCTTAAAGCTATGTATAGATCCTGCCTCCACTATGTATAGATCCTGCCTCCTCTATGTATAGATCCTGCCTCACTCTCTAGACTGTTCCACTTCCTGACAACTCTGTGACTGAAGAAATACTTACTAACATCCCTATGGTTCATCTGAGTCTTCAACCTCCAACTGTGACCCCTTGTTGCTGTGTCCAATCTCTGGAACATCCTGTCTTGTCCACCTTGTCAATTCCTCTCAGTATTTTGTATGTCGTTATCATGTCCCCCCTATCTCTCCTGTCCTCAGTGTCGTCAGGTTGATTTCCCTTAACCTCTCCTCGTAGGACATACCTCTTAACTCTGGGACTAGTCTTGTTGCAAACCTTTGCACTTTCTCTAGTTTCTTCACGTGCTTGGCTAGGTGTGGGTTCCAAACTGGTGCCGCATACTCCAATATGGACCTAACGTACACGGTGTACAGGGTCCTGAACGTGTGTGTGTGTGTGTGTGTGTGTGTGTGTGTGTGTGTGTGTGTGTGTGTGTGTGTGTGTGTGTGTGTGTCCTGAGAACAATCAGTGATACTGAGGTAATGTTGTAACAGTCATTGACTACTAGCGCCGTTCATCTTGGTTTGTAAACGCGCCTCGTTAATCATGCTGTTAATAATGATTAATCATGCTGTTAATGCACACACACACTCTCCCCCTTTCTGTCTCTCTGTCTCTCTGTCTCTCTCTGTCTCTCTCTTCTCTGTCTCTCTTCTCACTCTCTCTCTCTCTGTCTGTCTGTGTCTCTCTCTCTCTCTCTTCTCTTCTCTCTCTCTCTTCTCTCTCTCTCTCTCTCTCTCTCTCTCTCTCTCTCTCTCTCTCTCTCTCCTCTCTCTCTCTCTCTCTCTCTCAACACAAAAGAAATGTGAATCGACCCCTGCAACCACATATAGGTGAGCACACACACACCCTAGGCCAAGTATCTATCCACAGACACGTTTAACTATCCCATATTTATTTAATTAAAACACTAATTAACATAACAACTCAATAATTAATAAAAGAAATTCCCGAAAGCTGAACGGTTGAAAATTTTATCCAACAGTCAATCGAGAAGTCATAGAAATTAATCCATCCAGCAATACATCAACTGTATTTCAGCTGTATTCTGAAAAATACAGTGAGCACATGTGCGCACGTGCACACACACACACACACACACACACACACACACAACACACACACACACACACACACACACACACACACACACACACGCACACACACTGCGTGGAATAGACAAGGTGGACAGAGACAGGATGTTCCAGAGATGCGACACAGAAACAAGAGGTCACAATTGGAAGTTGAAGACCCAGATGAGTCAAAGGGATGTTAGGAAGTATTTCTTCAGTCATAGAGTTGTCAGGAAGTGGAATAGCCTAGCAAGTGATGTAGTGGAGGCAGGAACCATACATAGCTTTAAGATGAGGTATGATAAAGCTCATTGAGCAGGGAGAGAGAAAACCTAGTAGTAATCAGTGAAGAGGCGGGGACAGGAGCTGAGTCTTGACCCCTGCAACCACAATTAGGTGAGTACACACACACACCGCTCGTACAGAATAGTGTAGCAACAGACTCTAGATGTACATCAGTCTTAATAAGTAGTGTATATTAGGTCCTTCCCAGACTCACCTCCTTGACTGCCCGGTGTATGCTGACGGTGTGCCACTGATTGTCATCAAACCGCACGTTGTCAGGTCTCACTGTGACCTTAAGGGGGTCACCCCCCATGTCAAGGGTCACTAGAACTCCCCCTTCCCTTAGGGCCATGTTCACATAGTCCTTACCATCTCCTGTTCAGTCAAGGGAGATGGGATATGCTATTACTATTATTGTTATTATTATTATTATTATTATTATTATTATTATTATTATTAGTAGTAGTAGTAGTAGTAGTGGTAGTAGTGGTAGTAGCTTGTATACTCAGTAAGAAACACATAACTATTTAAGAAATAGTGACAAGGAAAGGAAAGAGGGAGGGAGGGTAGTATAGGAGGAAGGATGGAGGGATAACTGCAGGAGGAAGAGGAAGAGAGAGAGAACAACACTATATGTTACAAAGTGAAGTATGAGTGTGGGTACTGAACTAGAATAAGGTGATAGAGTGAATAACTGAGTGGACGAGATAATATATAAAACAGTGCATAAGAGCGAGCATAACAGAGTGAACAAGAGAATGAACAAGGTAGTAAATAAGAGAGAGAATAACAGAGTAGAGGTGGAGAATGAGTGTAGATCCAGTCACCAACAATAGATAGTTATCTATTCTGATATTCTGGGAGAGAGTAATTCTGGGAAAGTGCATAGATAAGTTAAAGTAGGAAGGGCGAGGGAGTGAGGGGAAGATATAAAATATATATATATATATATATATATATATATATATATAAATATATAATATATATATATATATATAAATATATACATATATCCTATGTCCACTATTATTCTTCGCATCAAGATAGAGTCAAAACTGTCTGTTTTCTCATCAATTTTTTGAGAGCTTTACGAATTTGTAGTCCTGAGTTCATAGAAAGGAAATATCCAAAATTTATAAATAGGTAATGATTTAAAATACCCAAGAAAGTTTAAATTTATAAATCTTTTAAAGTTGCTAGAAATACTTTTACAATCCAAAAAGGGACAAACCAGCCTTATTCAACTAAAAATATTGTTTGGTTCTCCCTTACCCTGAAAACTTGGTTGATATGCCTTCTCTTCTTAAGACTTTTAATATTAAAGTTGTATTTAAAAATCTTGAAACAGTAAAAAAAACTTTTGATAAAGAATTCCCCCCAAAATGCTGATGGATGTGTCCCATAAAATTCCTTGTAAATTTGCGATAAAGTTTATTACGGTCAAACTGGTAAAAATCTCGAACTAAGATTAAAACAACAAAATATAGCATTAGAACTGGGCAAAATTCCAAGCTCTATTTATTTATGTGAGAGATTTTAACCATCCAATTGATTTTCAAAATTGAGAAAGTAGTAACAAGCAAGCCATGGTCACAGGAATATAATTGAATCTTGTTTCATAAAAAACAGTTTTGACAATAAATGAATATTTCCTTTGGTTTATATAAATTAATCCATTTTAAAAATTAATAGAATTTTGGGGAAAAATTTAATAATACACGGAGAAATAATAATTTTTAAATTTTCTTGGGTAGAATAATTTGTGGGGGGAGTTGTGCAAAGGACCTGTCCAGTTGGGGCGGCGCGCGTCAGGTGTTTAACCGTTGTGGGATCTGATAGTGAGGTGTTGGCCAGACCCCTTATATAGCTTCCTTGGATGCTTTACTTTCATAGTTCCTTGATAAAAGTGAGTAGTCACGAAAGCGCTTGGAATTTCTCTATTCTTTCAGAGTGGTTGTTTTGCATAATTTTAAATCACCTAATATATATAAATAATGTCGTGCCGATATGTAAAACTGGTCAATTAGCAAGAACTCATTTAAAATTAAGTCCTTCTAAAATTTTCTCTTTTACGTTTAAAGATATATTTTTTCATTAATGTTAATGTAAAAATTTGTTATTTTGCATCAAAAAACTTAGAAAAATTACCTAACCTTATTACAACAAAACAATTCATTTTAGCCTAACCCAACTAAATATATTTTAGATTTGTTTGCAATAAATTGATACTAAACAAACACAGGAAATATATTTTTTCGTTAGGTTAAAGAAAGATTTTGGCGAAATTATTGCATACACAAATTTTCACTTTTCCTATATGGCAAAAATGAACGTTGCTATTTAAGCCAAGAGGGCAAGTTCTGCCTATTCGGCACGACATATATACCCTTTATCTATCTATAATATATATATATAAAATATATATATAAAAATATATAATTAAATATATATATATATAATATATATATATATATAAAATATATATATTGCTGAAAGCAGGAAATTAATCCTGTAAATGTCATTCAGTATCTGCTGAGTAGGATCGATCCTACAACGCATAAAAGCTATGCTGTGTCTCACCTGAAGAAGAATAGGACTCCACTGGGATGTCTGGTCTTGAAGGAGAAGGATAATTTTGGTCGCTCTGGGAGGAAAAGAGGCTGGCCTCCTGTCCCCGCAGTCCCACCACAGGTATTCCCGGCCTCGAAGGTGATTTCTTCTACTTGACGTTTTTGTGGGTGTGAGAGTGATGAGTGAGGGGAGAGGAAAGGTGGGTGTTAGTTGTGTGTGTGTGTGTGTGTGGTGTGTGTGTGTGTGTGTGTGTGTGTGTGTGATGTGTTGTGTGTGTGTGTGTTTTGTGTTGTGTTCGAAAAATCTTGACAGAAGTGCAAAAAATATACACACAACACACACAACAAGACACACACACCACACCACACACACACACACACACACACACACACACACAACACACACACACACACACACACGCACACGCACACACGACACACACACCCCACATACAACACACACACACACACACAACACACACACACACTCACACCCCACACACACATACACACACACACGATACACACACATACACACACATACACACACATACACACAAAACATACACACACATATACACACAAAACACACACGATAAAGCTCATGGGGGGGAAGAGAGGGCCTAGTAGCAACCGGTGAAGAGGCGGGGCCAGGAGCTAGGACTCGACCCCTGCAACCCCAAATAGGTGAGTACAAATAGGTGAGTACACACAACACACCACACACATACACACACCACACACACACCATACACACACACAACACACACTTTGGGCTGCAAAAAAAGGCTTCGACACAGTTCCTCACAAGAGGTTACTGCAAAAGCTAGAGGACCAGGCACACATAACAGGAAAGGCACTGCAATGGATCAAGAGAATATCTGACAGGAGGAAACAACGAGTCATGGTACGCGACGAGGTGTCAGAGTGGGCGCCTGTGAACAAGCGGGGTTCCACAGGGTCAGTCCTAGGACCTGTGCTGTTCTATGGTATACGTGAACGACATAACGGAAGGGATAGACTCAGAAGTGTCCTTGTTTGCAGACGATGTGAAGTTAATGAGAAGAATCGAATCGGACGAGATCAGGCAGGACTACAAAGAGATCTGGACAGGCTACAAGCCTGGTCCAGCAACTGGCTCCTAGAATTAACCCTGCCAAATGCAAAGTCATGAAGATTGGGGAAGGGCAAAGAAGACCGCAGACACAATATAGTTTAGATGGCCAAAGACTGCAAACCTCACTAAAGGAAAAAATCTGGGGGTGAGTATAACACCGAGCATATCTCCTGAGGCGCACATCAATCAGATAACTGCTGCAGCATACGGCGCCTGGCAAACCTACGGATAGCGTTCCGATACCTCAGTAAGGATTCGTTTAAGACTCTGTACACCATCTACGTCAGGCCCATACTGGAGTATGCAGCACCAGTTTGGAATCCACACCTAGTCAAGCACGTCAAGAAATTAGAGAAAGTGCAAAGGTTTGCAACAAGACTAGTCCCAGAGCTACGGGATTGTCCTATGAAGAAAGGTTGAGGGAAATCGCCTGACGACACTGGAGCCAGAGGGTCAGGGGAGACATGAAACGACATATAAAATACTGCGCGGAATAGACGAGGTGGACAAAGACGGGATGTTCCAGAGATGGGACACAGACACAAGAGGTCACAATTGGAAGTTGAAGACTCAGATGAATCAAAGGGATGTTAGGAAGTATTTCTTCAGTCATAGAGTAGTCAGGCCATGGAATAGCCTAGAAAGTGATGTGGTGGAGGCAGGAACCATACATAGTTTTAAGGCGAGTATGATAGAGCTCATGGGCAGGGAGAGAGAGGACCTAGTAGCAATCAGCGAAGAGGCGGCCAGGAGCTGTGACTCGACCCCTGCAACCACAAATAGGTGAGTACAAATAGGTGAGTACACACATACACACACACACACACACACACACACACACACACACATACACACACACACACACACACACACACACACATACACACACACACATACACACACACACACACATATACACACACACACACACACAATACATACACACACACACACACACACACATACACACACACACACACACACACACACACACACACACACACACACACACACACACACACACACACATACACACACACTTTGCAATAGAAAAATTCCTCTGAATTTTTATTCCTTGAGAAACACAATTTAATCCTCACAGATTTTTCAAGTGGCAAGGGAAGGCTCCTCTTGTTGGAATATTGACCTGCCTGGCCTCTCCTCTCTCCTCTTCTCTTTTCTCTCCTCCTCCTCCTCCCCTCATCTTCCTCTTATTCCTGCATTTAACTTTGCTCCTCCTCCTTTTCAGTCTCATAAATAAGATCAATAACATTGTGAGTCAGAGAGTCTGGCGCAACGTGGCCTGGTACCCCGCACCTCTCTGGCACAACGTGCCTGGTACCCTCGCTAC